CACGCACACACTTACACGTCCGTCGTTCATGCAGTAGAAAGTGAAGTTTAATAATAACTACGTACGTTTAACCGCAATTATATAATAAAATCGAGCGCGCGCAAACTCCATCCGGTTCGTATACGCGTACCGCGGCGGCGGGTCGACGGGCACGGAGTTTTCCTCTCTCCGCCTACCACTATCTCTCTCTCGCTCACTCACTCTCTCTCCATCGCTTCGCACATCGTATTTCGCGCGAGATAGCGGTTTCACAGAACTCCAACGACCGAGTGCCGGCGGTTTCCCGTTATATAAATTATATATTATTATTATTATATTTGTAATGCCGCGGAGTTTTATTTCCCGTTGGTTTCTTTGGGCCGGCTCGCTAGACGTCCGGGGAAAAAATGTGTTTGATGCAATTTTGAGAGTGCGAAAAAAACCCGACGCTTGCTCGCATTTTACGCGGTTCGCGAACACACCTCTTCGTCTTACACATTACATATTTTTTTACTCCCGCGTGCGTTATTTATCAATTTATCATGTTGTTACACGCCGATGTTATGGTGTGCGCGACGTGAACGAAACGAAAAAAAAATTCGTATCGGCGGCGGCGGCATAGGTGCAGCACCATCAGCGGCGGCCTGTGCATGTGTGGTGTATATGCGTGTACGAATAATGGGTATGATATACCCACACACACATAGCGAGCGGGTGCGATATATATATATATATATATATTATATTATATGTATTATAATAGTGTTGCGCGGCAGCGGTTTCGTCGTCGTCGGCCGCGCGGAAACACTATCGCGCGCGCGACCGCCGCCGGCTACGAAAAGTCATTGGCCTCTCGCTCGCGCAAATACACACACACGCACGTTGCACACACACACACACACGCCGCACACACACACACACACTTGACTGTGCGGTGCATTGTGCCGCGCCGAAAACAGCCGCCGCGATGTGCCGTTCCACTACCACCACCACTTCTACTAGTGTACTACTACTACTACTACTACTACTACTACTAGTACTACTACACTACTACTACTGTACTCCCGTCTACTAAAACGATGATGGGTGGGTGGGTGGCAGTGTTTTTTGCGCAACAAAAACCGCTGCCGCAGTTTTATTATTATTATTATTATTTTAACAATATCATATTATTATTACATCGTTCATTTGCGGGCACGCACTCGTCGCGATCGAGTTCGTAGCGTGTCGCTCAGGTCGTCGTAGTCGTCGTCGCGTTGTTTCTTTTCTATTTATTTATTATTATCGCCCGGAGAATGATCTTTTTACGCGGTGCACACGCGCCTAATCGTTTTTTTTCATCCGAGAGCTACCGAAAAAGGACTTTCAGGAGCCACGTGGAAACAAAATATTTAAAAAAAAACATACTATTGCGATAACCCGTAACGACGACGAGAAAACTTTCGCCCTGAAGCCATCGCCGGAAAACTAAGCGTTTTTGCGATGCAAATTTAATTTATGGTAACGTCCTCGCAGCGGAGACGTACATGCGGTCAAAAACGACGTGCACCGACGTACTTTTACCGCGCGCCACCACACTACTTGTTCCCTCCGCCACCCCACTCACCATCACCGGTACCGCCACCGCGGCAGTGGTGCAGTTCGCCGACGCCGCCGCCGCTAACACTCTACTGACCTACTTTCTATTGCGGCGGCGGCGGCGGCGTCGGCTACGGCGTATACTTTTTCGTTTTTTTCTCCATTCTCTCCACATATACAGCACGCCGCACTCGTCTCCGTCGCGGCAGCAGTCGTCGTTTACTCGCGCGGCGCACACCTATATACCACACACACACACACACATATTATTATCATTTATCGTCATTATTGCAACAATGATTATGCTTATAATATTATTATTTTTATTTTATTCACGACTGGAATATTATTATGATACTGCGGTGGTATTGGTGTAGCGCGCGCTCCGAAGAAGGTTACGGTTCGGCCGGAGAACGCACGCCCGGATTAACGGTATTTCAATGGGTACGATCCGATACGCTTATATTGTGTATTATAAATATTATAATGCATAGGTAATATTAATAATAATACGGAGTTGGTAAAAATATTAATAATATAATAATTATGTACTTTGGTGCTTATGAAAATAGTGCTCAATATTATACTAATACATATAAGTTATAACACTGTGTGATACAGTGCCTATAATATATCGTCCGGTGAACAGCGAACCTATATATCACGTACCTATATATAATACAATATAATATATTTATAATATATTATTTCGGACCACACGATTGCGTGCGCGCGCTCTCTCGAGAGTTCGTATTTAAACTTTTCGGCTATTTTCGGCGACCGTTGATGATAACGTCTGTGGCGGCGTTCGTTCGTTCACTCAGCGCACGCGTTAATATTTATTTTTTTCGCAATCGTCGCCGTCGTCGTGTCGTACGTACTCGTATATTATTATGATTGTATCGCGTTCCGCATCTCGACGCGGTTAGGTAATTCCTTGTTTTGTTGTTGTCGTACATCGAGTCTGTTTTTAATTTGTTTTTTTCCTGATAGTTTTATTTTTTACATCTTTACCATTGAATAATGAAATTAATAATATTGTTATCACGTTCGTTTGTCCACTTCGCAATCCGCGGCGGCGGTGGCGTCGGCGGCGCGTTGTACGCCTGGCGTCGTCGTCTCGCGGAGTCTATTTTCGTCGCGCGGTTTACGCCGTTTTTACAATAATATATTCACGATATTATAATGGTATGTTACGCGTCGCGCGCGAACAATATGCAATAATAGTACACGTACATCTCATAATGTATCATTATTATTATCATTATAAGTTTATTATAATATTAATAATAATATACAAAGTAGTAATCGTCGTCGTACATAGTGTACGTGTATATGTGTGTGTGTTGTTGGTAACGATCCGGCCGCCGCCGCGCCGCCGGCCCTGTAGGTCGTTGAACTCCGTGGCCGGCCAGCTGACTATACGACTACGACGTCGACGACGGTGCTTTGTGGTGGTACCGTTGGTTGGTTTTTTATTTTATTATTTTTTTTTTATTTTTTTGCGAAATCACGCGAGAATATAAAAAAAATCAGAAATGAAATAAAAAAATGATTGAGTACAAAATTAACGGAAAACTGCGAAACCTACAGAGGTTCGAGCTTTTCGTTCCATTTTTGTACTAATGATACACCGTGGTATAACTTGTATTTATAATAAAATAATTAATACCTATGTTATACATAAATTCGTCGCCTACACTTGTATCGCTTCTCCTCGGCGGTGGTGACGGATAATTTCAGCGGTGTAAAATCGATTTCATTAAACACAACAGCGGCGGCGGCTATGACGACGTCATGCATATAATAATAATCATGATATAAAACCACTCGTATATTATAGTCATCGTCGGAGTCGATATAAATTTTTTTCTGTTTGATATAATATAATAATAATAATCTATATACAGTATACACGCCATTTCACCCGTGTGTGTTGTGCATTATATATAAAAAAAAAAAATAAAATATACAACAATATTCAGCAAACAACAAGGTCATTGAACCTCTCTAGTGTGCAGCGTGAGCGAGCGCGTATTACGTCGATCGCTTTGCTCAGCCGCGAGTCGCCGCCGTCTTGAACGTCTCGCGCGCGAAGTGTTTATGCCGGAGAGCGTTTTTCAAACTTTGAATCGGTAGTTTTTTCGAAAATAAAAACGCGAGTAACGGCGCTCACGATGAATATCACGATTTTATAATATATTACTACGGCCGGCGTGTTCGAATGCTGTCGTCTGTCATTGCGATAATGTTGTTGTATCCGACGGAGGCGACGCTTACGATAATAATAATATTATTATCGTTACATAATTATTATTATTATTGTATTATGCCTCACACAGGTACACCGTATCGGTGTTCCGATACATATATTACAATATATTATTATGATATATCATAAATCATAATATATATTATTATTTATTGTAATATATGCGCGCCGTGTGTATCGCAACATTACATTATACGGATATAATATGTATTATATTATTCGCACAAAGGGAGAGGGCCGGCGGGGATCAGGTGTCGTGAGTGATGGCAAGGGGGTGTGGGGGGCTAGGATTAGAGTGTGTCTGCGTATGACCTTACGCGCGGCGTACGGTTGACCGATTATCATCGTCGGGTGTATACAGGGCGATACCAATCGTTTCGGTGCGAGTCGCGTGCGAATTGTTTACACTCGCCAGTAAAAACGTCAAATATATCATTACATTGCTTGTATATCAGATGTACGACATGTTCAATCGTGTATAGGTAAATACTGCAACTTACTACGGAATATTGCAGTGTGCTCTCGCATGATGCGCGCGTCGTATATTATTATTATGTACCTACACTACGACGACGTTATATTATAAATTATAATCGCCGAGCATAATATTATATTATATAGTATCACAATACACACATTCGATTTTGGCGTCCACTCGCGATGTGGCTCGATGATACATCGATACCTAATATTATATATTTGTATTATACCGCTACCGGCCTGTAGTCGTTCCGGTTTCGTTTGCCGGCGTTCTGTCGCTGTGCGATTTATAGGTACACAGTAATACGTCATGACGAAATGATAGTGCGTACACGCCTTCGTCCGTTTCGTAGACATAATATGAAAAGAAATGAACTGATAGCAGTGATAGAGAGAGGTTCGGGGGCCAACATTGTTAGGAAAAGATGGCAATTACCACTTGGCCCATCTGTTATGCCCATTAATAGTGTGTACGAGAGAGAAAGAAAGAAGTTAAACAGCATATTTTTCAGAGAAAGATGATGGCATACACTTAGGTGCTATCTCCTTCTAACAATGTTGGAACGTGGCATCCTATTATAGCACGGTGTGGGGGATGTGTACTCCGTATAATTAAAATAATATGTCCTATGCGATCCGTTCGTGTATAGTATAATACCGTAAACTAATCGGTCCGTTTTGCGTGTTTCAGCTCAAATCGAGATCATACCGTGCAAGGTATGCGGTGACAAGTCCAGCGGCGTCCACTACGGAGTGATCACGTGCGAGGGCTGCAAAGGATTCTTCCGGCGGTCGCAGTCGTCAGTGGTCAACTATCAGTGCCCGCGCAACAAGAATTGCGTGGTGGACCGCGTAAATAGAAACCGGTGCCAGTACTGCCGGCTCCAGAAATGCCTTAGGCTGGGCATGTCCCGTGACGGTAAGTGCGCATATTATTATACCCGTATGATGCTTGGTTATGTAAACGTGAGTGTGTGTAAATAATATACGACGACAACAGTTATTTAATTACGGCTACCGGCAGTGACAAACTTTGAAAACCGACGGTTTCTACCATTTTATCCAATACACTCCTCATCACCACCCCCACCGACAAGTCACCGGGGCGGGTATAGGTTGAGTTTACAAAGCTCTTTCGTTTATCGATATACTACACCGGTCACCACCATCTGGAGATGGGAGATCCACCATCCACTCACCTTCATCTCTGAAAAAAATCTGAAGAGGGGAAGTCGACTCTCAAATACCCCTCCGTTTCGTCAGTCACTCTTCAGTGTTATTCAGTGTTATCTGTTCGATTCTCTCTAGATTTATGTGTTGTCGTCGTCGTATCGTTTTTTAATTATACATTCAAGGCTGAGAATTATCCCTCAACGATGGGGAGGAGGGTCGATGGAGATAGCGCTGTGTAGGGTATAGAATATGCCTGATGGTTTTAAAAGTTCACCAGTGCGTCACAACCCTTTTAAGATTATTTTTCTATTTTATTTAATTTTTTTAGTTTTTTAGTTTTTTATACATTATTATTTGTTATAATACAATACGCGACCAAAACGACTACGTAAAATAAACGATGTAACCATCACGAGAACGTTTCGAAATTGGTCAATTGTATTATATTATAATGTATTCAATATATATATATATATCATACAACGCGTATAATATATTATTATAATTTCCTGTGCTTTTTGTGAAACGCGATTTGTTTAATGGCGATGTCGGCGCTGGGGTTAAGCTCACGATCGAGTCAATAACCGACTCTCGACCCGGGGTGTCAACGCAACCAAACACACACGCACGCCTACGAACACCACACCAGTGTCGCTGGGCGCACACAATATCCCTATCATAATATTGGTGTAAATATTACCATCCAGTTGTGCAATCAGTATATACAACGCTATACTTAGCCCCGTTGTCAAGCTGGCGACGGATATTTGTTTTAACATATTTTCCAAAAACACAATCGCAATGTTATTTTTTCACTGTTCATGACACATTGTTATACGAATTGCATTGTCGGTTCGACTACCTGCTGTGATGTGTTTGATATGAGTATATTGCCGAAGATTTTCGCTATGTCGGTGCTATAAAAATTCGTACGGATCGAAATCGTTTTGTCTAATAAATTCAAATTGTCACAGCTACAGTATAAGTATATGGTCGTGCGCCGACATAATCATACATTTAAATGCAATATGAATGGATGGTTTTACAAATCAGTAAAGCAACCAAAGAGTTCTGGCTATCCCCCCAACCTCTTTATGCCGTAGACATTAATTTATTTAATCTTATTTAATAACGATTTTGTTATGGTTCGCATATTACGATAGCACAACTTTGAAGAACATCTCATAACATTTGGCACAAAAAACCGCATATATTTTATATAAATTTATCAGTCTGTGAATAAAATTAAGTATGGGCCCACCATGAGTCCATAGGCAGGGGGGAGAGGCTTTAAAGAATTCTGGTTGCACTACTGTTATATATTATGTAACTACTAAAATAATTGTACATAAAAAAAGAAATATAACCTAACATACCAATACATGCGTATCTAAGAAAATACTTATCAACAATGCGGAAGCTAACATTTAACGATAATATGAATAAATCACGAGCTGTCAGTGCTACGTTTTACACTATATTGTACGCACGTACTGTACGAATGACAATATTATGTTACGGTATTTTGATGTAAAATAGTATAATACACTTCTGTTTTTGTTTTTCGGGTCTTGCCCGTGTACAGCGGTCAAGTTCGGGCGCATGAGCAAGAAGCAGCGAGAAAAGGTCGAAGACGAAGTGCGCTTCCACAGGGCACAGATGCGTTCGACAGCAGCTGCCGCAGCTGCGGCCGCTGCTGCAGCGGTGGCCGCAGCAGGCCACAGCCATCGACTTGCTGTTCGACCACGACCGGCGTTGGCAGCGGTGGTGGTACCGCGGCCGTAGCCGCTGACTCGTCAGTGTTCGATCACGACCAGCAGCACGGGCACGGTCACGGGCAACAGCAACAGCAGCAGATGCCCTCTAGCACCGCCGACCATGGGCTGCGCTTACACCAACTACACAGTGGGGGAGGACATCTCTCGCAACACCACCATCAGCAGCAGCAGCAACAGCAGCAGCAACAACAACAGCAACAGCAGCAGCTACAGCAACAGCAACAGCAACAACAGCACCAGCAACACCAACTCCACGGCCAGCAGCAACAATTTAACATAAACAGCAATGTTCAGCAGGCTTACGCCGCGGCCGCAGCTGCAGCCGCCGCAGCAGCAGCAGCCGCCGCGGCCGGCGGTGGCGTCAATGGGGCCAACGGTGGCACAGGAGTCGGGTGAGTACATAGTACATAAGACTAATAAAATATTGTGGTCTCGAGGCCGAAAGGTTCTGATTTTCGTGATTAGGCAATAAATGGTCTCGAATTACATTTGTAGCGGCATCAATTTAATGTCCAGCATAATATAATAATAATACTATGATGTTATTCGCGATTGATAGGTTTTACGGTTAGAAAATAATTTATGATCTATCGGTCAGCAGCTTGTAAAGTAAAAATAGCAATAGCATGCCTACCTATATCAGAACTTTTGGGATCTTGATAACATATACTATAGTCATTACTATCATTATACAATATCATGACGTAATCACTTGCAGATATGGAGGTGGCGGATACAACAGCACCGGTGGAACGAACGCGGCCGCAGCAGCCGCGTCGCTTGTAGTGGATACGTTCGCGGCATACGCGGCAGCGGCCACCTCTTCAGCGGTGCAGGCCGGCGCGAGCGGTTCCGTGCCGCCTCCTTACGACACGGCGGCAACGAGCAGCAACTACGTAGCGGACAGCACGACACCGGCAGCGTCCAGCACGACGCCGTCGACGGCCGCGGCCACGTCCACTTACGGCGGTGACATGGAAGTGTCGTCAGTGGCGGCCGTTGCGTCTGGAGCGCAGGACAACTTGATGGCCGGCGTTTCCGGTTCTACGGCCGCTGTTTCTTCGGGTCAGTACATAATAAAGGCCAACGCAATTATGGTTTTGGCTCGCGTATAGGAAAAATGCCTGGGTGGATACATTAGTCGCAGTAAACATTTCTTCCAAATGGTTGGGTAGTCTTATTCTTTGCGTCGTATCTCGTACATGCGGTATTTTAGTTATTGGAAATACAAAAATAACAGCACATGCGATACATATTGTGTGGGATTAGCCAATTGTAGTTGTATAATATTACGGGTTGAAAATAAATAATAATCTTATCTGTTCGTCGAACGTCCAAATATTTTCACCGATTTATTATTATGTATTTTGATATATTATATTCACTTGCCAACAATATATTTATTATTATCGTCAATAAGTTTATTTTTAAATCACTGTTTAATTTTCCTAGAAATTAGATGAAAATTATGATTTTATGAACCAGTGGTGATGTAGATAGTTTGAATGTATAAATGTACAAGTTGTAAACAAATTAATATTTATTATTTTCTATTTACATGAAGTGTAAACATTAATAATTTTCCCATTGTTGGTGCAAAAAAATATCACGGAGAAAATACCCAATTTATGCATTATAGTATATTTTCAATTAAACATAAGTGACTTAATATTGATGGTTTTTGAGGTATTACGAACCCCCTTGGATCCACTGATAGGCCACATTATAGTTTAGTCGGTCCGTTCAGTACACGCCTTCGCAGAGCGCCATATAGTGCCGTGCGCACTGCTCGTGTAACGAGGTTGCATTGCTAAGGGGCACAATAATATTATAACAATAATAATATTGGGATTTGTGTAGCTAACTTGGTGCATTTACCGATTTCAGCAGCAGACGCCGTACAGATCAGTGAACTGCTGAGCAAGACCATCGCAGACGCTCACGCCCGCACGTGTTTCTACACTCTCGACCAGATACACGATGGCATGTACCGAACAGCTACCATGGCGGCGGCCAACAAGACGACTGCCGACAAATTGATAATGTACAAGACCATGGTAAGTTGTTGTTGGGTGTACCAGTGTATGGTATTGCGTATTTACGTAAGGCCAATAGCTTTTCGGCTTATGGCATGTACCTATATGACTACATACTTTAACGAGAACGAAGTGTTCAGTTGTAACTTGTTAACTTATCCTTTATAAGAATGTTGCGTCACCGTGTCCGTAGTTTTCAGAATATCCTTCGTAATTGGTTTTAAACGTAAACTATCCATCTAATATAAATAAAGGATACGAAACCATAATTGATTCCTTCCCGTCCGTCGAGATAATTTTTATGCACGACCTTAAATTAAGCATTTCATTTTGATGTTTTTTTTATTATTTTAAAAGGCCATACTTACAGAATTCTATTAGAAATTGGCCAAATTATAAATGCTAGGTCGAGTTAATTTGTTTATATCAGATATAATAATATCAAAAATAAAATGTGGAAAATATTTCTTGTATAATTAAGAATGTGAGTATTTTAATTGCATACGTAGGATAAACAGTATGTAGTATAATATGCTAGTTTGAAAAAAAAAACAATAACTTTTAGATACACTATTATAATAGGTAAATTCAATAATACGCCAATAAACTAAAACAAGGGTTTAAGTATGAATTACGCCATTACGGTGAAGATTAATTTCACAAACTTTTTAGAAAGATTTATCTTTTTATTATATTAACTATTTTAAATTGTCGGTATACCTATTTGAATTAACTAGTTAAAACAATAATTTTGATTCAATTAATTCGAATATGTTCAAACTTCAAACACCTTACAAACGCTTGACTTGAGGTTCAAATATACATGACATTAGAACACATGACACGCTCCACTATATAGGCTAAGTAGGCCCTCCAGTGGTTTATTCCGCCGTGCTGTCTCAAAGACAAAAGTCAAGGAGGGTAAAACCATTCAAATCTCACACTACCTTTAAATTTTAGTAGTATATAGGTACTTGCAATATATTTTCTGGTAGAACAGTACTTTCGTGGATAAAGTTTCATAGTATGTAAATTAAAAATGGTACTTTGAAGAGATCATTTTTTGAATTAACTTAATTAACTAATTGAATGAGCACTTGTTTTAATAAAGTAAAATAACATATTTATAGCGTTATCATAGATACAGCTTGACATTATTTATATAATCTATATTCTATATGCCTATATAAAAGAACTTGTCTTGGCCGACAAGCCGACTAATTCGTCATCGCCTAGCCGAAGCTATGAGTATGAAATTTGGTCAATATAGTTTCGTTTTATAATTTAGAGACCAATTAAGAAACGATTTTACAAAATTCGCATTATAAAGAGGTCCTCAGACAAGCATCTTAAGGCTCGCTGTGGAAATTGAAACTTTTTTTTGTATACAAATGGTTGCTATTAGTTACTCAGGCAGATCAGGAACAATAGCCTGGATCAAATCGTCGTGTTTACATGGCTTCGAAAAATTAAATCTTAAAATCAAAAGTTTGTAGCTTGTATACTCAAAAACTACTCGATTAATTTTGACTAAAATATCAGAGATTGTTTTTAGAGATTTCAGAAAGATTAGTTAAATAGTTTAAAACACGTTAAAAACACCAAGTGCTAAATCCAACACTTGACTCGCTTACCCATCTTTGTCGAATTATTTCAGTAAGCTAGGTTCACTGATACAGAATTGTCCGTGAAATAAAGTAGGTACACTAATAATGAGATACACTCAAACCGAAATACACCTATATTGCGTATATACCCACTATATAGGGTTGCATCAAAAAAAAAAAAAAAAAACTGGACACGGGCGAAGCCGGGTTATTTTCAGTTAGTATATTTACATTTCTTAGCATAATTTTTTGCTGCATTCTGACAAGCATTACTTTTTGGATTATGTCATTGCAATTATGAAATTTTTTTGGTTTTTATTTTATAGATTTTTGATTAACAAATAAAGAAAAGTTAAGTTATTATAAATAATTATACCATTACAAATAATTTTTTAAGACAACTTTTATCAATTTATTTTATGTTTGTCCGATTTTTGAATTATATATTAAAATTAATAATAACTTATCATTATATATAATGTTTAAGTATTTTATTTTTATTATATGGTGTTTATTATAATATTGTAAATTAGTAGGATAAAAAAAAAAATTATCAAATAAATTTGATGCTGAAATGTCGAAAAAAAGTTGTAACTAGAGTTGTGTACTTGCAACTACCGTTGTCAATAGGTAATTAATTTTAAAATTTGTTATTTTTAGCCTCACGAGGAGCTATGGTTGGAGTGTGCGCAAAAGTTGACGTCAGTCATTCAGCAGATTATTGAGTTTGCAAAAATGGTGCCCGGCTTCATGAAACTATCGCAAGACGACCAGATCGTGTTACTCAAAGCGGGTAAGTTGTGCATCGATTATGATCGGTAAAAATGTTTAAACATTGCAAAGACTATGTAGCAGAATAGTCTAAACGATAGGACGCTTACAAAAGTTGGATCTTTCGGGGTAGAGGGTGCAACCCCGCGGAAGCTGTTTAATTTATAATGGTTATAAAGTCAAACGCAAACCACAGAGCTTTAGCACGAGTATTACATTTCTTAAAAACTTTACAACACACGGCTTTGAAAAAAAATATACTTTTACTTATCGTCACTTAGCATAACAAACGTTTTGTAACGGAAATTTAAAAATAATTTTTGTTTGCTTTTCTCTTGTCAGTCATTTGCTGTCGCCTATCGATATCGTCTATAGATCATATTATACATTTAGTATATATCTGTGCTGGTTATTAACGTTGGTAAAGTATCATTTGTGAAACTAATATCTTTATTGTTCCAACAGGAAGTTTCGAGTTGGCAGTGTTAAGGATGTCCCGACATTATGACTTACACCGAGACTGCGTTTACTACGCAGATGCCCTGTTGCCAGCCGACGCGTTTTACACGCAAGACACAGTCGAAAAGAAACTGGTCTCGTTGGCTTTCGAAGTGAGCCGTTCCGTGGCTTCGTTGAAACTTACTGAAACCGAGCTGGCCCTGTACTCGGCCGTTGTGTTGCTGTCGCCAGGTTGGTATTCCGTGATGACGATAATATATTTATAATTGTACCAGAAACACCACAGATGAATACAATGAACTAGATTGCAGAGCCGATTCCGTTCAACGCATAATAATATGATTTTTACAATTTTACCTTATAATCCGAAAAATTAAAATGGGGTTTTCATAGGGTAATCAGGGGTATATCCTATTTTCTGGATTCTTTGACTAGCAATGTGATCTATCCATTAATATACTATCTATGACCAGTGCTCTAAGCTAAGTTCTAAGCTCCACTAAAGTCTTACCACACATAACTATTGACAGAAATTTACCATTCGTCTCCAGCAATATTACCAAATACACGGCTATAGTGTGTTTTACTTATTATTACAAGTCAGCAATCTAGTTTGTTGTGTGTCTGTATATACCTATGACTGTAGTATCACTTTTGCATGAAAATTATTTTATTTGAGAATCACATTTTTTTACAGACCGGCAAGGCTTGAAAGGCACCGTGGAGATCGGTCGCCTTAGACAGGCCATTTTGCGTGCTCTGCGCATGGAGCTCGACCATAGGACCGCGGGTGGCAAAAATGCCACCACCGTCGATCTGCAACATCAACAGCAGCATCATCAACAGCAGCAACAGCAGCAGAATCAAGTGTGCGATGCTCTCATACAAAAGATCCCGATACTCAGGTGAGAACTGACGGCTATACAACTTAGGGCATTAGCATTTTAGGAGCTAATATAACTATACAAAATAATAATGACCACTTGTCAAATACCAATCACGTATTATAAAGTTAAATTGTAAATTTAATTTAATTTAAAAAGATGCACTTTGGCCTTGTGTTTTAATATCATTAACTGGTATTTAGTGCCGGAAATTAAAATTAATTTATAAGATATAACAAATAGCTGCATAATTTAATTAACATAAATAATTATAGTCAAATATACTAAGTCATATATGGAGTGGTTAATATTACATATTGAATAAAGTTGTTTTCACATAATATACATATATGTGTGTATATCAAATAGGTATTAAATAATAATATATTGGACATAGGGTATGCTCAATTTTTAATACACTTTTAGTTTTTCAATAATCAAGGAACTTTTATTGTAGTCAAAATTAAGTATGGTAAAAATTAAATTATGTTTTTAACCTAATTATCATATAGTAAGTAGGCATACCAAAAAAAAACTTGCAATAAAAAACCCTTGTAATATAGTATTATGCTCGTGTTGATCGGCATATTGGTAGTTTTTGATAGGTATCATTTTGTACTCACTTTGTAGCTTGTATGGGATATTGAACTGTATTGATGAACTTAAAAATTGAATTTTAGAGTCAAGTTTTATTAATAAATCGTTATTAATAATTATGTATGCCTTACCACTGGTATACTATTTGCGGTTACGTGCCAATTCACAAATTAAACTAGTTACCTTTCATTACAACGTAACAAATTGTTTTTCAACACGTCAACTTACACTGAAAAGTTTACTTTTGATTAAATAATTTTTTTTTCTATAAGTTCTATAAGTTTTTCTTATCTAAGGTTCTGAATTTCTGATGAAAATATTTTTGATGAACATTTTTACTTTCTAGTTTATTGTACCTTTGAATTGTTTAGGGTACCTGTAGTAAAGCTATTTAATTAGTTTTTATAACATTGCTATGGTGAAATAAATTATAAACGTTTGAATTTTAGTTATACGGATTACTTAACTTTGATCATTCTTTCATCACAAAACTTTTAATTAACACTATTACTTTTTTGTCGATATAAAAAGTTACTCTCAGCTTAACAAATTCGATTTTTCTTGTAAAATGATTTCACATGGTTATAAAAAAATTAAAAATTAATTTGCCTAGCCAGCAACATTACCCGTTTATGATAATATCGAGATGCCAGTGCAGGCCTGTCCTTTTTAGAATTTTCATCCGTGGGATGTAAAATTAAGATTGATTTTGATTTTTTCCACGTGGCTAAGATATTTATACCGCAGTGGTATAAATTCCTACTCGTACCGTTTGCACGTGAACAGAGTGTAATCGACCGAATAAAACATTTTCGTCTATATTCTACTATTATAACAGATAAATGGTAGCGGTGGTGGATGTACGTACCACCGTAGGTATAGGAAATACGATTCGTTTAGAATTTCAAATATACAGCTGAACGCGTATATGGTTATTCAATACATATATATTATATTATATAGTGTAAGAGGGGAGGTGATTATATTAAGGCTATTACATCCGCCACTGTAAATGCCAAATACTACCTCCCCGCACTCGTATGAATCAAATTTCCGCCGTGTAGATACGTGTCAGCTTAACCCACCTTACCCGCCGTGCCACTGTTCGTGCGATAAATACGAGTTGTGCTGCGACAGTCAGTAATACACAGAAAGGAATACGGAAAATGCTCCTCACTTTTCCAATAAAAAAAAATTCGCCATATTTTGCGTGCTGAATTCATAGTGTGGGTAAATACTTTGGAATATTTTCACAACAATCAAAAAAAATACGAATGCATTATAAAAAAACGTGTTTGTATTTTCACGAAATATCTGATATTAAAGAAATACACCTATACGATATATTATGATTATAGAAAAATAATATTTTTTTGTTGTTTATAAATAAAATTGTTTTTTATCTTGAAACTCATATATATACAAGATTTCACCTCGGTTTACTACAAATAATACATAACTGGACCAGTTGGCAAGTTTTTTATTTTTAATTAAGCTTCAATAGACACAAATATATTTAACATATAGTAAAACATTACTTTTATATTTTTTCATGATATATTTTTACGAGTATACAGTTTTAACTACGTAAAAGAAAAAACCAAACATATAGTTAAAAATGTTAAATTGCATTTGATTTATGATTAGTCGCAAATAAGTTAATTTGTACCTGTGTGGGTGCCAGAAATATAATATAAGAACCATCTTGGGGAAATCTAGTTCTTGGTAGGTTTGAATGAAATATTAATATCATAGCCTTGAGGAGCTTAAATCCCTAAACCTCCTCGCTCCTAATACCATAATGTATTATTACATACCTACCGGCTATCATAATTTATTTATGATTAATTAATATTTTAATTTTAGTTACTTTCATACATATGCTATGACGTGTAAGACAGAAAGGAAACTTTCATGAAAATGCATAATAATTTTAATATTTAAATGTATGTATGATTAAGTATAGTGACAGAAGGCATATTATAGATACAAACAGATGCATCTGACAATGGCACTCATGATAGATGTAGGAATGTTAATTATTTTCGGTCATAAAGTACTAACCAAAGTTTTATATTGAAAATGTTTCTCACTTCCTATATGAAGTTCCTTTTAAGAGACTCAAAGTATATACCCACAAGTGACACAAGACACAACAGCAGTAACTATAGGACGATTAGGACGTAATTAATTAAATTGTGCATTATAATAAATAATCACCCTTACAAACATTAATATACTTTTATTACATAATAATGGTACTTAATTTTTTTACCATTATATTTGGAATTTTATGCTAATTTGTTTCAAACATAATAGTATATGTTATTATGTTATATAATATGTGAATGACTACTAAATTCATTAATATCTCGGTTATTATTAAAGCATTATGCAGAATGTTGGGCATCTACTAAACTCTACTTACACCTCTCTGTAGTTGTGTCACTAATATTAGTAGAACTGTATATTCATGTATTCGAAGTAACCATGTAAGAACATAATATTATGTTATTTTTGTATTGCTATTCAGTCCATTGAAGTGGTTATTTTTGATAACAACCTCACTTGGGAATTTCTGATGGTTATGTTCACGATACCCATAAAATAAAGCGAGTGAATATCTAAGTTCTTGTGATGTGGAGGTGGTAGGGGGAATATATCACTGGGAAATAATGGTCGTCAAGCCTATTTATTTTTCTATAACGAGCCTGACGGCGTAAGTTGTTTTCATAACAAGTCTACTGATATTTTCGATTTAACAGTCCAAACGATCAAACGACCTTGTCCCAGAGGGGTATTGCAAGATGTTAACCCCATATATTAATAAATCATTTTCTTGCAAGCTTTGCAGATAAAATAAAGATGAGCTAAAGTATGTTTTATTGACCAACGAAGTATTTCGCCCCCCCCCCCTAGAAAACATATTGTATAGTAAATATATTTAATAATTTAAAAATTTGCACCTGAAAAACTATGTCAATTATTAATTATAAATTTCGAAATTCTAAATATATTTAAGTAATCTAATGATCATAATTTTATATGAATATTAATACACGCGTATTGTAATAACTTGTGTTTCATAAAATATGTTTGTTATAAAACAAAACATGAAAAAGTAATTTTATTTTATTTTGGTGGTTCCCCGTTTTGATATAAATGTGTAAATTGGCCAACCAATTACAAAAAGTTGGACCTTCATGATCTATATAAATATATAGTTATAAACGTATCTAGGTACTATACTATACGGCATGCATACGCCTCTAATCCTGATACCTATAGGCTATAATACTAGTATAAACATAGTATTAACATTATGGAAAATGTCGATGGTTAAGCGCACACATGTATGCATTAATTGCAATTTTATTTTAACTGAAAGTAAATATTTCTTTTTTTATATTTAATTATACATTTTGAAATTAAATTGTTCTGAATATTTTGTGTCATGACAATTTATTATGGCTGCTGCAAAATGCATAAATGTGTATAGTTGATAAAATATGTGTGAGCTTAACTATCGATGGGTAGGATATGATTTACAAAATGTTAATAACTCTTCATTTATTTTGAGCGGTGTTACTTCTTCTTTGTGTTTGCCCTGATTTATTTCGGCTCTGTGTGTTTCGGCCATTATGGATTACGCAAACACTAGGAAATGTACACCTACAATATTATAACAATAATAATATAACGTCGTGATGACTAACGGTTTGGTTGTTTTTCCACAGGCAACTGGGAATGCTGCACATGGAAGCGTTGGCCAAGTTGCGACGTACGGTGCCGCACTTGGAGTTCCCGGCCCTACACAAGGAACTGTTCTCGGTTGACGGCAGTTGATCTGAGGAGGAGGGCTGCGACGACGACGACGACGACGACGATGACGGCGGCGGCGGCGGCGGCGGTGGCAGTGGTGGCGGAAGCGGTGGTTGCGGGGGCGGCGACGGCGGCGGTGACGACTCGGCGAAGGACTCATCTACGATCGTCATCGCGTCGGTGATCTCTTTAGCTGGCGGACTGGAATAAGAGCTGCAGCAGCAGTAATGAGCAAAGTCGTCGCAGACGGGCTGTGTACCATATTATACTATATTATATTATTAGTATATTATATTTTAATATAAAAAGAAAACTTAAAATGAAAAAAAATTTTTTTTTAAATTGCAAAATCTCGCGAGATCACACACCGCCGTCGCATATTTAATATATTCTATTATATATTACGTATAGTGTTGTTTTGTTACAAGGTAGTGTCTCATATTATATATATCGCGTGTTTACGAAATAGAATATTGATATTATTATTATTATTACTATTATTACTGTTGTTGTTATATAGTATTTTTATATATATATATACGGGACATAAATCCCCTGCAGGTACGTAATGAATAGGTATAATAATTATGTACAATTATGTTTGTGTGAATATTCTCCCTGTCTGAAATGTTTAAGAGCGTCGCTTGTAAAAAACGGTTTCCATTGTGGGAGGAGATGTGTGTGTGTGTGTGTGTGTGTGTGTTGAAGAAGAGAGCTTATTCTCGTTGTAGTCGTCCATGTTTGGTGTGTGTATGTGTGACTGAGTGAGTGGACGAAAGATTTCGTCGTTGTTGTCTCTGTTAATCTTCGGATCGAGCGTTGTTTGTTTAGGTACGTACGTTAATCGTAGTCGACGACGATCGTACACGTACTGCACACGTCCCGTTCACACGTTATATAATAATAAAATCGATAAAAATGAAGTATAATAATATATTACAATAAAATTACATTACCGCGCGTAATTGTAAAGTCTACCGCCGACGTGTATCTCGGCGTATGTTGTTTTTTGTACTATTTATTGTTATATTAGGGAAAAGAAAAAATTTATAAAAGAATTTCATGATCAGCGTACTTAGGTACCACGCGTGTTACACTTTTTTCGTCGTCGTCGTCATAGTTGTAAATAATAGTATTTAGTGTGTGTTCTATGTGCGCCGCTATAATCACATATTATATATTGTATAATATTATTATGATTAGAATACGTATATTATTAATTATAATAATAATAATATATATTGCTATCATGTTAAAGAAATGGGTGGGGGAGGGGGAATAGTGCCGGCGGCCGAGGAGGGTTTTATTCATCATTATTGTTTATATTTTTTTTCTATTGAAAACTCGTTGATATTTTCTATGTATAAATTTTACGAAAAACTGAGGAAAATAAATCTAATTAATATAAACTCACTCTATACACTCGTCACGTCATATTATTGTATTGTACCCACACACACACACACACACACACTTGTATAGCTGTCGCTATCGTACCTATGTAATAATATGATATCGAATAAATTTCACTCTCGATATAATAAATATTATTGTATCATATTTTTTACACTTGTTGTTTAGGTACGATATTTTATAGATATTATACTGACTATTATTACGTGTATAATATTATAACTTTGTGTAGATAGATAAATATACATAGATAGGTAAATATTATATTATTATAAAATGTGGCCGCCGCCACTTCTCGTTTAAATATAAGTAATAATAATTATTATTATAATTATTATTTTTATTATTATTATACTATGTGTTACGTGTTTTTGTGTTTTGTATAAATTATAATGTATAAGAGTCGTCGTCGTCGTCATCTACTACAATACTCTTATATTATTTTTTTCTCTAAGCGACTTAACATATTATTATGTATATAATATATACGATAACTTAAGCTATATATACATTGAATATCGTGTGTTTAAAATAGTGGTGACACAGCAAAAAGTTGTAGCACATATTATTATAATATATTATGTATGTATTTTATTCGTAAGTCGTTCGACGACGACGATTATGGCACCGGCTGCGTATTTTTATTTATGTATACGTGTAATATATGAATATATCATATAAAATATTATAATACGCGAATAGTTTTAATTTGTTTTCGTTAATATTATTATTATAAAAATGAATAGGAAATTTAATGTGATGTGGGGTAATTATATTGTGAAATTAATCGATAAGAAGACGGAGTGAAAATGTGTAAAATACGATTTTTAATATTTAAAGAGTATAATATTATATAATATATATAATTAAATTGGTATATATATACATAGTATATATTACGTTAGTTTTTTACGATAAAAAAACGATATATTGTTTTTTTTATAATTATTATTATTATTATTTTTTGCGCCCGCCCGCAATTTTATGAATTTTATTAAACTTTGTCATTTTATTATTAGATAAGAATATTATATATTATATAATTATATGAAAAACAAACAAAATATTTTTATGTTGTTTACCGCAACAGTCAAGTAAAACACGCGCACATAATAATATATCATTTTATTGTATATTTTTTAAATTACGTTTATCGTTTGTTCTCGTATCTTATGTAATAGCAATTGATATCAATTTATATATATATATATATAAATATTATCATTGGTCTTAGATAGTAATTATCATCATCTATAATCAATGATATTATGTTTGTCACCTCATCCTCGTCCTCTTCCGAAACGCGTATATTATAATATAGGTACCTCTATATATTATTATTATATAGGTACACTCGTTGTGTTTCAGTTATATTTTTTTTTTATTTCTTTTCGTTTTCCACTACTACTAGAAAAGGTGCTCCGTGTTATTATTATTATTATTGTTATTAATTAATTAATTATTATCGCTTATTATTATTATTATTATTATTATTATTATTATTATTATTGTTTAACGAGAGATAATATTATAAAACAACAAAAATATATAAATATATGTATATATATATATTTATATAGATATATATACGCATGTAGATTATATGGTATATTTTGGTTTTCTTTTTGTTTATTATATTTTTTTAAGAAAAAAGATATTTTGCATCCACAAATGTTGTGGGCATATAGGCACTATTTGACCTTACATTTTGGTGGTGCTAAAATTATACAAAGCCTACGAATACATTACTTAAATAAAAGATTAGTAATAAATTAACATCTATATTAAATTAATTCCTCCGGCTTATGTTGAAAATTTTTAATTATATCTTCAATTCTTAATTAATTTTTTTAATCTTTTTCAATACATTTTAACAGTGACGAGTTTGAAAATCTTTCTTGTATCATGCTTGTATAGCCAATCAGTGGCGGATTTTCAGAATTTTTCTAGGGGGGGGGGGGGTCGTAAAATAATATATATTTCAAAGGTACCTATAAATTATTTTTATAAACATTAAAACATATAATTGTTGAAAAACTTATATTTAACAATATATTATTTCAGTACCTATATTTGAAATAGATATACAAATAACCTTATATATTAGTCATGTCTAAATATATAGGTATGATCGCAATGAGAAGCATTTTTGTTAAGGGCTGCTAACGTACAGTTATTGCATGTTTTAGCATGGAAAGGAATCTCAGCTGGCAGTTATTTTTAGATTTATTTAGCCATGAAATTAATAATTTGTATTGTTTTGTTAACAAATAAATCGAAGTGATAATATTCACTGCCAGTGTCGGCCTTGACACTTGCTTATCACAAAGTTGCGATCATACCTATATCTTTGGCCATGATATTAATATATTATACTAGTGTTTATAATATAACATAAATAATTATAGTGTCTTGGGGGAGGGGGGTCCAGTATCCCTGGACCCCCCCGTAAATCCGCCACTGTAGTCAATATTCATGGCATTTATATAATTTACCATAACATCTTAATTGATTAATTATACAATATTTCATACTTCATTATTTAATCCTCCAATTAATTATCTAATTTACATATTACATAGAAAACGTTGTTTGAAGAAATTATTTTCTAAAGTTTAAACAACAATTCATTAATGATGTGTTTTCCATAGTTCGTATCGGATCTACACAGCATAATATAGACTTAAGTTTAGTGGCACAACTAGGGCTAACATTTTGGTGGGGTTATAGCCCCACCTGGTATTACACGAAAAGTAACGTGTGGGGGCAATGCCCCCACGGCCCACACCCACCGTATATATTTACTTAAAAATAAAAAAAAAATCATAAAAAAATTATTTAATTATTTCTTTATTCAAGTTACATTTTTCACGTAACAATATACTGTCTATGGTTATCAGAATTAAAAACCCCAGACTAAAATATTCTTCTCAACTACATGAAAATGATTGAACAAATATTTTTTAAACTCTAATTAGTGTAATTACCCCATTATTAATATTTAATTACAAATATATACCTATAGTGAAGGTAGGTATACTTAATTAATTAGAACAATTTAAAATCAAGCAGTTATTGAAGAAACATTAAATTAAAGGAAGCTGGTAAGTGGGTGTCACTCTGCTGAACAGTAGGTTACATGTGGATCACTGTATGGATGGTGTTAAATTTGAATTCAATGATATAATATCATATTGTATACGAAAAACGATTCTGAACGGAGACGGATTGTCGGCCTAGGATATCTTAAATTTAAATTTATATTGTTATTATTAATATAGCCATTAAGTTGAATTGATATTATTTGCATATTATCATATTTAAATATTTGAATATAATAATATACGTCTTGTGAAGTTTCAAGTACCCACGAATAATATTTTGAAATTACAACAAAATAACTAAAATCCTTGTTCTTGGTTGTTTAATATGTAATTTTGTCCAAATTTGAACTTAAAATAACTATAAAAAAAACTGTGTTTATATATTTTTTAGATTTTATGGTTACAGAGTTAGCTACTTACATGGAACCTTGTTTTAAATTTTTAATCCTTAGCTATAAAAGTTGAACATTTTATACATTTTAACTACAAAATCATTTTTTAATTTTA